TTCTCTGAAGAGGAAATGCAAATGGCCAACAGGCATATGAAAAAATGTTCAACATCACTTGTCATCAGGGAAATGCCAATCAAAACTACCATGAGATACCATCTTAAACCAGTGAGAATGGCACATATTAAAAAAACTAGCAACAACAAATGTTGGCGAGGGTGTGGAGAAAAAGGAACTCTTCTGCACTGTTGGTGGGAGTGCAAACTGGTCCAACCACTGTGGAGAGCTGTGTGGAAATTTCTGGACCTACTAAACATACAGCTTCCATATGATCCAGCAATTCCACTCCTAGGTATTTACCCAAAAGACACAGAAACATCAATTCCAAAGAGCACCTGCACCCCTATGTTTATAGCAGCACTGTTTACAATAGCTAAGCTTTGGAAACAACCCAAATGCCCAAAAATAGATGACTGGATCAAGAAGATGTGGTACATATATACCATGGAATATTACTCAGCATTCAAAAAAGATAAACACATGCAATTTGCAGCAACATGGATGGCGCTGGAAGGGATCATGCTCAGCGAAATAAGCCAAAAAGAAAAAGAAAAATACCGGATGGTCTCACTCATAACAGGAATCTAGAAAACTTAAATAAGGGACCAGGAAAATGAATAACTTTAAGAAAGTGAAAATCAAAATCAACAAAAAACTATGAACCAGAGACACTTTTAGGGGGGCGGGGGCGGGAGGGGAGGGATTGGGGTCAGAATGGGGGGGCTGCAATTGTATGGGGAATATAACAATAAAATTTATTATTTAAAAAAATAATAAAAAAAATAAAGTGATTGTTGAAGGTATATACTTAAAAAATAAATAAATAAATAAATAAATAAATAAATAAATAAATAAATAAAGATCTCAGATGACAATCAGACAATTTTCAGACGGGGAAGAGTAGACATTAGAGAGTAATAATTCAAGCATGTGCTCATCATCACTGACACAACAGACAAATTGAATTGGGACCAGGTGACTTGTGGATTCTTGGACACAGCAGCAATGCTCACAGAGATGGCCTCCCCAAGGGCTTCCCAAGCAAAGCCCTGCTCAGATAACTGGTATCTGCAGTCAACAAGGCACCTGATGGTACCTTATAAAACTCTTCAGAAGCAAGAGTCAGTGATATAGAGATAGGTATATTCAAGTAGATTGACAGCTGTGTTCAGAGACAATTTCATTTTGGAGGGAGATTAATACTCTTCCCAAATTCTAAACTTAAAAAAGTTTAAGTAAATTTAGATTTTCTCTCAATTTGATGAGAAATCAGAGGTGATTTTTAAAACAGTTAATGTACTACATAAGGGTATGAAAACTATAGACAATATCTGAGGTCTGGTTGTCAGCTTCTGTGGACTGTGAAAAATAGGAGAGCAAAACACCACAGTCCAGACTTGGAACTTCAGCAGAAATGACTGATTATCACGCACCCAAGGACTCAGCAGGCCAAGACCTGCATATGGCACAAAGCAGTCAGATGCATGAGTTGGAAAGTCAGTGCTGAAATGCGTGGTGTGTTCAAGTGTGACATGGTAAGAAGAAGCAACATTTCAACTGTGCTCTTCTATAAATCATTCTGCTTCAATGTATTTTAGATACAGTCCAAGCTTTGTCAAAAAGAGTAAATCCAATGTTTGCTAGCTTGCTTTAGGAGTTTGAGGTTGAAATGTCCATGATAGCTAAATTCTCTCTAGTACAGCTTATGGAACATGAAGAAGAAGCTGGCTGGCAGGTAAATGGGATGCATGCCCTTTTGTTTCCTCAACTTTTCTGTGGCACTTGACTCTGGAGAAAAGTCAATGCCAGTGTAAATTATTCATGAGTACTATGGGGCTTCCCATCAGCCAACAAGCCCAGGACAAATGAATGAATACTCTTTTTTTTTCCTCAGCAAAGCAACTCATTGACAGCTTACTTCCCAGCCCTTGGTCTCTGGACCGTGGCAGGCTCCAGACCTTCCAACCAAAGGCAAAGAGGCAGAGCCTTCCTTGCTGTATCTCCTAGAAACTGGGCTTCTGATTTGCCAAGAAATGCAAGTGAATATATCTGAGAACTAGGATCAGACATATGCAGAAAAGCTGATAACTGTAATTGGCCCCTCTCTTCTCACACACAGCATAGTAGGCTACGGGAGAGAGGAGACTTGTGTCAGAGGAGGCCTAATACTCTGCCTTCCTACATCCTACTGGACAATGACCTGCAAATGGTTCCATCTTTATAACTTGCTGAAAAGTAAGCACCTGGAAAACTAACAAACAGCCAACAACTTTGTCTGGATAGATCAGAGGCATCACCTGGGAGATAATTTAGCTGAGAGAAGGCCATTCCAGGACATGTATGATAAATGAAGCTGCTGAAACTCCCAACTTCCTCACTATGCTCTCTGGATCAAATTCACACCCTCCTTGACCCAAATATGCCCTTTACTGTACACGAATTCCAAGGACTTGGCTTTCAAAGGCTTATCTTTAAGACTTGCTTTCAGGCCAGAACCCTGAATGGAATTAAATTATCCTGTGAAATAAATCCACAGGATAAAAATAGCATTTTAATCTACCCTAATTAAATGTGTTCCTTTCAAATTCAACCTTATCAGTTAGAGCTGGCACATAGGATTCAAGCTGAAGAACAAATTAAAATAATTCTCAGAAATGAATCATGGACACCAAGAATTGAAATAAAACTTCTTAAGATATGGGCAGACAGTGGTTCATTAGCAATGACACCATGTTCCAGCACCCACATTTCAAGACAAAGGTTACATGTGTATGGGAAGATGGTCATATCCCACACAGGCAAGTGTGGTGAAAACCAGTTTGAATTTTGGCTTCCCGATAGTTAGCAGACTGGTTATAAAGTCTTTCTAAGACTCAGTCATTCATCTAAATACTGCAGATCCTTGACAAATGCCTTTCTGTTCAAGTTGTTTTGCTATAATGTTGATGAGGGGAAAAAAAAATCCCTTGACACTGAATGATGTTATTTGAGGACCTAGATTCATTATATACAATTTGAAAGTCACATTTTTTTAAAGAACCTATTGATATTGATGATGTTAGGTGAGGATTTTCTGTGCTATGAATACCATGATTGTTATAGAATGATATTGTTAGGAAGGTAAAGGGAGCAGTGGAGGTAAAGGGCTGGGCTGGTACTGATGCTCAGTTTTGCTCTTGCTGCCATCATGTTTTGATTTGCAGCACAAGTGTCCATCAAGCAGGGACATCATTCTATGAAATGCAATGAATTAAATAGGGGTAAGACTCTCTCTGGGGTAAATACAGCAGAGATGGATGGGAAAACAGTGGAGGGGAACAAAAGCAGGAGCTCAGGGCTCAGAGTCTCTGACACCACCACCAGGAAGGACCCTGGCCTCCTTCCTCTATGAGAGATTGTGTCACAAAGCGCTTCTGGTCAAGCACTGGACAGAAAGCTAAGACAGGAAAACTGTGCAGTAGGGCCACGAGAATATCAGAGAGCCTGGTTAAAAAAGCTCACATCACAGGCGTCTAGGGCACCTGGTGGCAGGTTTGAGAATTCAGAAAGAACAGAGACAATTCTTGGTTACCTTCAGGTTAAAGAGTGCAGCTGCTGGTGGTCCCAGTTCCCAGCCCTGTACTCTCCTTCTCGACCTCACAGCTGTATTCCTATCAAATGGGTTATATCTGGTTGAGGTTTTAGGGCTCTGAGCTGAGAATGAACTAGAAGGCATTTCTGTATCATGCCTGGCAAACCTCCTGTGCCTCCCCAACCTTCCCGGTGTCTGTGACCAACCCTGTGCATTCCTTACTTCTCGTGTTCTCGTTGCCCACTTCCTATTTTGACTCCCAAGATAATTAAGAATATGCACTTTTTCAAGTTCTCTTACATTTTAGTAATGATGTCAATTGTGTCATAAGCTCACAAAAGGAACAGTATTTAGCAAGGTTAGTCAACAGTATATTTCCACCAGGAAATTCCTTACTTCAACATTTACGTTCCCATTATGGAAGAGAATTGAATTTTTTTCCTCAAAGGAAAGCAACAATTGCATCTCTGGAAAAAGAAAGAATATTTGTGGCAACGAAGTTATAACATGACTTAAAGAGTAGGAGGACATTGACAACAAGGGAAAAAGGAAATTTTAAGAATGAAAACTGCCTAGTACTCACACTTACATTTCCCTGTTCACCCCCTGCTCTCTGACTAAGATCCTGGCTGAGAGTCCTGGAGCTCTGGGTTCTAGCAATGTCAACCAGTAGAAAGGTCTGTTATGATCAGGAGATTGAGTGTATTGAGATGGAACCAAACAGTATTTGGGAGGGGACTGAAATAATAAATATCATTAGCTCATCAACAGTTCAACTCTTCACTTCCCTCTGGTAAACTGCAGCCCCTTGTGACTGAGTGTTATTAATGGCATCTTAGGGCAACAATTATCCATACTCTTCAGTCTTGGTAGGGACATTAAACATGGAAGGGATCGCTTTAAATGTCACAGCAGGAAAAGAGAGCAATGATGTATTCAGTGCCTTCCAGGGTTTGGCTGAAACAGGCCCTTAGTAACTCTGGCTGATGGAGTTCATGAATAGCCTCTTCTGAACTTCTCAAGAACACACAAGGGCAAGTAACAGTTTGCAGGCAACGTTAATCCCTGTTATTCATTTATGTTAGTGGACTCAGGTCTTTGTGAATTTAATTCTAAAACTATTTCAAGTGACCATCATGAGCGAATGAAGGAGGCACTAAGTCAGGCACTAAATGAACAGGGGATGGATTATGAGAGTAGTTTCCGGTAACCAAAACTCACCTATAGATTATTCCTTTCTCGTGGAGGAACATGAGTGCTGAGATGATTTCTGCTGCATAGAAACGGGCTCGTGCTTCATCAAAACGACGAGACTTCTGAATGTGAAACATCAAGTCACCCCCATTCACAAACTCCATAACGAAAAACAGCCGATCCTGGATACAAACACAAGAGAGGATCCATTGTGATGTAGCAATTGGCAAAGTTCAGTCAGTGTCTTATATCACCTTGGCTGCGGCATGGGAAGAAGGGATTGTCAAGTGTTAAGAGACATCCTGACAGCAGATCTAGGCAAGGTAGGATGGGCCTGGGAATTAGATCCCTGGGATACAGAAGGGGAATATCTGGATCTCTCTTTAGGTAATCCCACACAGCCTTGAATGTCTACATGAGAAGTTTTTGGTTCTAGTTCTAGCTGTGTGATGAAAACACCATGTAACCTTGAACTTAACACTTTTTTGATGTTCAACATTAGAAAAGTGAGAACCATGATATTATCCTTCCCCAAACCTCAGGCCTTTATAAACTGGAGGAGAGCAACTTAATTCCAAAGGTACATGCTTTTGTCTGGAATACGCAGAGCTAACCACAGAATATGGGACATCTGATATATGCGTTAGTCCTCACACCTGGCAGAGAGCAATCTCAGAAAAAGGAAAACACTTTAATCAGCCAAACAGAAGTATAATGACAGCCAGAGTATTTGAGACATTAGAAATTCCACCTGCAGAATATTCTTGAGTCAGGAGTGGGAATGTAAAAAGGCAAGTGAGTTGCCATCTCTACCCTGAAGGACCTCACCACACAGCATGTGAAATGAACTCTTGAAGTTACCCATGCTCTGTATTGAGTGCTGTGCAAGTGATGTGAATAAGAGCTGTGCAAATTGAAACTACCGAATGAAAGAAATATATAAATCTCAATTAAAAACTGATTTAGGCCTTTCCCATAATGGCCTAAATATCTAAAAAATACATAAAACTCATACAATTTAACAACAAAAAAATCATGGCACCTAACCAAAAGATGGACAGAGGGTTTAATTAAACACTTATTGGAAGAAGTGATAGAAATAGTTAACGTGAAAAAAATGTTCAACTTCTCATATATGAGAAATGCACATCAAAATCACAATAATACATCACCTCACATTTTTAAGAATAACATATCAAAAAAGCTGTAGCAACATATGTTGGTGAGGGTGCGGTGAAAAGGGAACTCTCATTCACTGTTGGTGGGGACATAAATTGGTGCAGCCTCTCAGGAAAATGGTATGGAGATTCCTTAGAAATCTAAAAATAGAAATACCATATGACCCAGCAATACCTCTCCTAGGTACTTATCCAAGGAATATGTAAACACTGATTCAAAAAGATTTATGCCCCTCCATGTTCACAGCAGTATTCACAATAGCTAAGACATGGAAACAACCTAGCTGTCCATGGGCAGGTGAGTACAGAAAGAAGTGGTGGGATAGTGCTCACCTATTAACAACAGATGAAACCTTGCCTTTTGTGACAACATAAATAAATGGAATTGGAGTTGAGTATGCTAAGAGAAATATGTCAGAAAGTGAAAGACAATTACTAGATGGTTTCTTTCACATGTAGAATAAAAACCACCAAAGCAAATGAACTAACAAATCACAACAAAAAGAACTCATAGATTCTAAGATAGATGTAGTGGCTACCAGAGGGGGTAGAAAAAGAGAGGGGATAGGAAGGATAGAGGGCACCAACCCAATAGGGGGAAGGGCACTAGAATGTTGGTGGCAGGTTAGGCTTATATAGACAGAGACGTGAAGATATACCCAAAAACGCATATAGGTGTGTGAATCAGTACAATTTAATTTTTTTTAAAAGGTGATGCTTTTAAGATTGACAGTATAAACTGCAGTAAAAAAAATGCAATTGATTTCCTTACTCCCTCCCCTGAAAATTCACTAAGTCCTTGTTTAGCCAGGTGCTGAATTAAGTGCAGGGAATCTAATAGAAAGCAAAACAGGCATAAGCAGGCCATGGAGAGTCTGAAGTAGGAGACACACAGTATTTTATGAAAAATCATTAACAAGAAAATTTACAAATTCTGTTAAATCCTGTGAAGGGAAGTAAAGAAAGCAATGACAACTGGTTACCTGCTTGGGCTCAGAGGTGGTCTCTCTGAACAAGTACTTGCAGGACTTTTGGAGGGTAGGAGGCTGGGAGGCCATCTTGTAAGGAGGTGGTGTTTTACAAAAGATGTGCACATGCAGAACCCCTTTATTTGTGGTTTTCAGTGCCACCAGCTTTGCTCCAAGGGTTACCATAAGTTTATGGCTCAATAATGAACAGAGCTCATGTGTGTTCTCATGTACTTCCCAATTCATCACAGGGTTAATCAGACCCATTCTCTCAGAATACAATATAAGTGATGAACTCCCATTCCTGAATTTAAGTAAGGCTTTAATTAGAAGGGGGGTAAAATTCCCTCTATCTGTGAAATGTCTCTCTCTGCGAATGAGAAACAAGAATCACGTGAACAAGGAATGGCAAGATTTACATATACAGAATCAAACAAGCAGCACACAGCTCTTTTGGTTGGCCAATATAATCCAACAGAGAATGGAACACAGGAAGTCATGTGAGGGCCTTTGTGTGTGATGGTGGAACAAGCTTGGGGAGCGGCAGTGACCTGCATCTTCCAAGTGGGAAGAACTCAGGTGACAAACAGGTAAGCAGTGGGGGGCTGAGGGGAGAGGGCCTGTATGTGACAGAGACACATCTACAAGCTCCATATGTCTGCACAGGAGTTGTGTGCCAATGCTGTGTTCATTGGGGGGTGGGGGCTGGACATGGATGGGAAGCAAAGAAGACTCAGACAGTAAAGTCACCCCAAGCCATCATTTGCAAGTAGGTCAGCCTTAATATGTTTTTGTTAACTGACCTGTTCACATCATAGATGTGACTGGCAGTTACACCAATCCCAAAAGCTTTAAATACCTGATTACTGGAACTAGGTCAGTAGGTAAGTGGCTATTCCTCAGGCCTTTGGAAGCAAGTTTACCTGGAAAGAGTTTCTAAGGCTGTAGGCATTAAAAAGATGAGGGTGTTTTTAGGGAAATTTCTTCCATTTCAAATCCCCCTATTTACCCCGTTATTCTCATATCTAAAATCTGAAAAGCCAAACCCTGGATTAAATTCCAGATCTGGAGGGGCAGAAAATACAACCTTCTAGTCTCCCTCTTTCTCCTCTTCCTGGGCCCCACCCCCAGGCCTGAAAGCTGACTCTCAGATAATGGAAGGGGTGGGGAGCAGTGCTCCTGTGATGCACAGCCAGGAAGTCATAAGGTTTATGACTCTCAAAACAAGGTTTCTTTTCATTCAGAGCTCATTTCCAACCTCCTATATGGTCACACCTAGCACAGAGGGTACAACTCCTGAAGCAAAAGAACGGGTAACGAGGACTATAATAATGTCAAAAGGTGGAAATATTAAAAAGCATGTTTATCCACTAGCAAAATATTTTTGCTATGGGAATACCTTCTGTTTATATCTACTTCTGTTCAACCTATTTTAAAGCGTCTGTTGCAAAGGCAGTTAAATTTTTTTAAAGATTTATTTATTTATGTATACAAGAGCTGGGGTACAGGCCAGAGGTGTGGGGGGGGGGTGAGAGAATTCACCAGAGACAGTGGGGAGCAGAACAGGCGGATTGACTGAGATACACTGCTGAGGGGAGCATCGGGCGAGTCAGGAGAGGTCTGCTGCACCATGTAGATTGCTCCCTGGCTGGCTGGGGAATCGAACTCGTGCTGCAGAGGCTGCAGAGGCTGCGGACAGCTTCATAGGTTGTGTCTTAACACCTAGGCCACCATGGAGGCCCAAGGCAGTTAAAATTTGGCAGCAATTTCTCTAAGATTTCTTTTGCAGAGGGGGAGATATATGACAAAAATCTCTAGCTTTTAGCAAAGATGACCCACTCATCATTAGGTAGCAGAGGGAAGAGGAGTGAGAAGTCATCAGCAGCAATAAAATTTCATTAAGCATGAGTGCAGGTGAGGCTTCTAGAAAGATTGTAATCAATAGTTTCTGCTGGTGACTGTGACAGTAAACAAGTTTTCAGTGAAAAAAAGATTATAAATGTGTATTTATGTATATTACATATCTGGGTATTTGCAGAATATGAAAACACCAAAGAAATATCTGCATGCATGTGCATGAACACACACACACACACCCTGCTGTGGTTCAATGCAGTATTTGTTACAACAGCCAAGATCTGGAAACAACTTGTGTCCACTGGTGAATGTATATGTACAAAATGGAATACTACTCAACTACAAAAGAAATTACAAGAAATCTTGTCATTTGCACCGATAGACCTAGAGGGGATTATGCTGAGTAAAATAGTCAAAGACAAAGACAATTACTGGATGGTTTCACTCTTATGTAGAAGATAAACAAGACAAACATACAACACATAAACAAACCCTTAGATTCTGACAACAGAATGGAGGTTACCGGAAAGGGGGATGTGTCAGGGCAAGGAGAGGATAAAACAGGTAAAGGGTCAATTGCATGGTGGTGGATGGAAACTAGACTTCGGGTCTAGTAAGTAGCATGTGCAGATGCTGAGGTACAAAGCTATACACCTGACACTTTAAAAAAAGAGAGATCATAAGCATGAATATGCACAATGATGTCCATTATCGCCAGAGATGCAGATGTGCTCGGAAAGGACACACAGACTCCCTGTAGAGTGGCAAGTCAGCTTTTGGTTGCAGATACTGGGGTGACACTGATCCCTCCTTTATCCTTTTAGGTATGTCTAAAAGTCTCTACAGTGAAAGGAGATACTACTTTTATACTTGGAAACAAACCAATCACACGTTTCCCCCCTATTTTTCAAATTTTCATCTAAAAGATGGGACACTGGTACAGTGCGGGTTTGAGGCCATAGTAGACAGCATGTATTTAGTGGGGTGGGTGAGGAGGCAGCCACAGACAGAGGCACCTTCACGTCCTTTGCTGCCCACTAGTAAGTAACCACCTGCTTCTTTAAATGTCTTTCTGATGCTTCAAGGAACCAGGCCATCTGGCTTGTTGGAATGACATCCAAAATGAGACTCGGTCGGCTCCAGTCTGGGCCCCAGGATCCTACTGAGAGTGAAGGGTCTGACTTCTGGAATGCAGCTTTAAGAGCTGAGGCTTTCAGAGATCATTTACAGGCTCTCTCATAAACTCCCTCTTAGGTTCTCAGCAAGAAGGAATGTTTACTGAGCACAGACTATTCCAGGCCCTGGGTGGGGGCAAGTGTAGTGGCACGAATGAGCCCCATGCTTGCTCTCTCCAAGCTAGAACACATCACCCCGTGCACTTAAGTGCTGTGGAGGGGCACAGAGGATGTATTCGGTCACAGAGCAGGACCCCTGAGCAGCCTGGGGGCTGGGGTGGGACTTAGTGAAAGCTTCTAGGATAGTTGATTCCCTCTTCTTGAAGGCTAAGAAAGCAAGAGTCAGGCTAGAATGAGGAGGGAGGAGGTGATAGCACAGTGAGGCAAGAGGAGTGACTACAAAGGGAGATAGTCCCAAGCGCTGAGGCAGCTGAGCTCAGGCATCACTGTAACACACACCATTACTTTCTAACCAAGTGTTGGCAGAATAAGCAAAAAGCTGGGTGTGCCCCCTCGCCCCGCTACTGAGAATTGCAGGATCTTGGTCCTATAAATCCACACCACCACTCACCTATTGGTCTCTACCAGAACTACAGACTTAGTGCCTGGGTTAAAACAGGTAGCAATGATGGCACCTGGCTTAAGATAACCTCTAGCAAGCGTGAGACCTGCCACATGTAATAAAACACCAGTAACTACAAAGGCAAATCTACTCCAGCTAAATTTTACCCCTATGGGAGGAATTCCACCAACCTAAAGGAAATCCTTCACTTTTAGCCAATGCTCTCTTCAGAGCAGAGACCTGAATATGAAGTTCTGAAAGGAGGAGGGAAATAACCTCCCACCTACAACCCCACTGGCCATCTGGGCCATTGAAGAACTAGTCTCATTAATGAATTGATAGACATTGTCATGCTCCACAAACTGACTGGGGAGCAATGAGAGGAAGCCTCTATTGGGCTCCCTGCATTTGGGAAGGTGCACACGATGTACTAACATTGCCCTGAGTCACTCTGGAGCAAGGAAGAGCTTCCCACTCCTACCCTGAGCAGTGATGGTAGAGGCGACTCTTCCTATGGTTAAGCTGTGTAGATAGACTTTCCAGTTGTTCTAAAGTCTCATTTCCTAGAAACATCCTGGACACCTGCTCAGCTTTCCCTCAGGCCTGTGGCTCCTCTAAGGTAAATTTTGCCCTTACCTGCTTGGCAGCAAACCTGAGGTCCAGGAGAGACCGGTTTAACCTCAGTCTTAAAGCCAAGTGGCCCAGCCCTTTGTGCCTTGTTCCTTTCTTTCGTCCCTGATTCAAACAACCACAAATGCAAGCCATTAGCACAGGGTGAGGAACACCTGAGGGAAGAAAAGCAACTCAAAAATCCCTTTTTCCCACACCCTCCGCTGGTGTGAGTTACAGGAGAGGGGGGGCTCAAGAACTGGGGCCTAGTTAATAATAGAATTCCTGTCATCGCCTGCTTGGCTCCATTAACCCACTGCAGCCTGGGCCAAGTCTGCCCTGGCTATCAATTCAGAGCTGCTACTTCCCCAGACCAAAAGGGATAAAAATACCCGTGACCTGGTTGAGGCCTTCAGATTAAGCAGTGTGCATTCCCTAAAGCCCTGTAAAGACTGTTCTTTGGAGTTAAAATGCACCCTTGAGGTACCTATTCAGCTCACGGTGAGCACGTCCTCTGAGAACCACCTCGGCAGGCACAGTGGGTAAAGGCTGGACATCCCGTACACAGGGAGTCAGACTCAGAAAACTGGAACTGAGATAGAGAGGTTTTAATTCAGGCCGTGCTATGATCAGGAACTGAGAAAAAAGGCCTTGTTGCAGACACATCTCCATCAAAGGGGGAGGGGCGCTAGAGCAGTGACCTGGCTTCACTTTCCCTGGCCCCACTGCAGCCACTTCTGATTCCAAGTCCCAGGGTGTCTCAGACAGGACTTCCTGATCCTGGAGCTCACAGAAACCAGGAGTAGAGATGAGCAGACTACATACCATCAGTGGGACTGACTCTGCCTTGCTTCTGCAGCCCCAATTTATACCCTGGTACTGCTGGAAGGGGACCTACAGGAGACACATGGAGGAAAGACATCCAAAGACATCTGGAAGAGACGCGGGTGAAAGACCCACAAGAAGGCTGTCCTTGGGAGAGTCAACGGCAGTTGTGTTTCTCATTTGTACTTTTGCATCTCTGCTTTTGTCCCAGACTTGACCGGCCCCTTTTGCGCCCTCCTTGCTGTTCCCTACCAGAAAGTACCTTAGACTTTTGGCAAGCTTTGAGGCCTCCATGGCCCCATGTATGGCTGATCCTGTTTGGCTAGGCATTTGCCTACAAAGAGATGGGTAATATTAGAAGTTAGATTGGGAAACCATTAGTAGGGATATCCTTTCTTCTCTCTCTAGGCACACTAATTCTGTTAAACATCTATCACACTAAGAATCTATTTCCTTTCCTTCCTTTGTGTGCAGACAGCAAGATCCCTTCCCTGGGTACCCCTCAGTTACAAACTAACAGAATTGAGGTACTGATACTGCCTTTGTGGTGTGAATGTAAAATGTTCTGGATAACAAGAGTAGTGAGAGTCTGAATGGACAGTCGGAAATGGGAGGAGAATGAAGCAGAAACACAGAGCGAGATGGAGATAAGTGGTAGGGAGTGTGAGTCACTGAGCCAGACACTACCTAGGCTCTTCATGGGTTTCCATTTTCAGACCCCCAGGAGTCCTCACCAAGTTCTGCCCAAGGGTTACATGTCATACCTTTGGATCTCTGAATCTTTCTTTTCTTTCCCTGTGATTATGCTGACATTGGTTTACAGCTCTGTATATGATTCGGGGAACTAGATTCCACCGCCTCAGAGTACATGTACAGGCCACCTCCACCACCAGAGCATCCATGCATCCATGTCTGAATCTTTACTTTCACTTCTTCTTTTTTTTTTTTTTTTTTTGGTTAAACCATTTTCAGTTACTAGCTATCAACCAAGCACACCATTTTTATTTTTCAATGTCTAACAATCTTTTTTATTTCAGGGTCCAAAAAACTACAAGTTAATGTTTCCACATGTGCATTTGCAATCATAAAAGCTTTTTTTTTAAAAAAATTTTTTTTTGTTGTCCTTACATCACTGTTCTCCCCTCAGGTATAGTCCCTGCAGTTCTCCCACCACCACCCATCAACCATATCCACAGTCCCTTGTGCTCTTTCCTCCCCTTTTTGGCCCTCTCCTTCCCCTTCTTTGCTGTTTGCCTTAAATCTATGGTCAGTTTGCAAGTTTTGCCTTTTTCCTGATCCTTTGTTCAGTTTTCCTAAGCTCCACCTATAAGTTAGACCATTCAATATTTTTCTTTTTCCTCCTTATTTTGCTTAGCATAATAATCCCATCCATGTTGCTACAAATAGCATGAGTTTATCTGTTTTGATCGCAGAATAATATTCTGTTGTGTATATTGTGTACCACATCTTCTTGATCCACTCATCTGTTTTGGGCATTTAGGTTGCTTCTTTATCTTAGCTATTGTAAATAGCTACTATAGTAAACATAAAGAATGCAGGTTTCCTTTCAAATTAGTGTTTTTTGTGTCCACTGGATAGATTCCTAATAGTGGAATTACTGGCTCACAAGTTAGATCCATTTTTTAATGTTTTGAGGGTCCTCCAAACAGCTTTCCACAGTTTGCTTTCCCTCCAGCAGTGCAATTTTTAAGGGAGAGGTTTTCTTGTTTATAAATCTGGGTAAAAAAACAACAACTACAGTGGTCATGTCAGGATTAAATCCAAAGCAAAATGCCACACACGGCCAGCCCAGAGAGGAATCTCAACGAAGGGCAGCTATGGTTTTTAACTCCAAATCACAAAGAGATTCCAGTTAAATCTAAGAGACCTTGGGCCCAGCACCCAAGTTCCTAGTGGCACTAAGAGGAACACAGTGTGGTGGTGAGGGGCTGTCGGCTCTGGAGCCAAGATACCTGACATGCAAATGCATCTCTCATCCTGCTGTATTTATCTTCTAACTCCCAAAACACTCATCTAAAAAATGGGCATAATAAGACAATCAAACTCACAGGTATTGAGAATGAAAAGACTTAAGCAAAGCATTTCGAACACAATAAATACTCAATAGATGTTAGCGACTATTAGTATCCTCTTCATCATTACCAGCTCCCCTTAGCTTCAGCCACCACGGGCGTCTGCTCCCGGGGCCCTGGTCCCTGGAAGAACAGAAGCATCCTCAGCAGTGAGCTGCCTGCCAGGGATACAGAGATGGTGCCTGACTCACGGAGCTGCTCAAGGAGTCAGGCACCTCCCTAGACCAGCTGCGGGATCCCAGGGCACTTCTTGATACCAGAGGGTCACAAGTTTGACCTGGAAAAGAATTTTCTTTCATGGAAGTGACTACTGAACAAGAGGTTACAAAAGCAGATTTGATAACCAAAACATATTAGCCAAAGTTTCAGTTCTAGTATGTTTTCTAATATCAGATACTTCATACTCTATTTTAAATAAAGCTTCATAATAATAACCATAATTATTATTGTTGCAAAGCAAATGTGTTCCCCATGGGCTACAAACATAGGAGGTGACATTTTTTGTACCAACTATTCTCCCTTCCTGTAAAGATGATTCATTCTTACAAAGAGATTGAGAAAGATTTTTCTTTTTAAAGCCAGAATCTATAGACATGGCCATTTATACATGTTATATTTACTTGAAGACATTGCAAGGTAGATGCAGATTACCTTTTGGAAATATTCCAAAGAAGGGAAACAGCATTTAAAGGTAATGACCAAGACTAATAATATATACAGTTTTGTTTTAGGGTGATGAAATGTTCAAGAACGGGATAGTAATAAGTGTTGCACAACATTGTAAATGTACTAAATACCATGGAATTGTGGTTAAAATGGTCAACTTAATTAATATATATTTTACCATGCTGGAAAAAAAAAGAACTTGGAAAAAAATAAAGTTAAAGACTAAGTTATGGGCGCGCAGACCTCTCCTATCGCCCGCTGCTCCCCTCAGCAGTATATTTCGGTCCTTCTGCCTGCTCTGCTCCCTGCTCTGGCTCTGGTGAATTCTCTCACCCTCCCGCGCTTCTGACTGTACCCAGTGCTTGTATAAAGAAATCAATCAATCTTTAAAAAAAAAAAAAAAAGACTAAGTTATGACCCTAAGGCAATGGAGAACAAGGATTCACATAGAAACTTATTGACCCACGCTACATGCAAAAGAATGAAGCTTGACCACTACCTCACACCATACACAAAAATCAACTCAAAATGGATTAAAGAACTAGACATAAGACCTGAAACCATAAAACATATAGAAGGAAATATAGGCAAAACACTACGTGATTTGCACATCAAAGACATCTTTACAGACACATCACCCAAAGCAGTGATAGTGAAGGCAAAGATAAACAGCTGGGACTACATCAAATTAAAGAGCTTCTGCACAGCAAAAGAGACAATAACAAAAAAAAAAGAGAAACCCCACCAACTGGGAGAACATTTTTGCACCCAACACTAATGATAAAGGACTGATCACAAAAATCTGCAAAGAGCTGATGAGACTCAACAACAAAGAAAATAATCCAGTCAAAAAATGGGCAGAAGAGCTAAAAAGAAACTTCTCTGAAGAGGAAATGCAAATGGCCAACAGGCATATGAAAAAATGTTCAACATCACTTGTAATCAGGGAAATGCAAATCAAAACTACCATGAGATACCATCTTACACCAGTGAGAATGGCACATATTAAAAAAACTAGCAACAACAAATGTTGGCGAGGGTGTGGAGAAAAAGGAACTCTTCTGCACTGTTGGTGGGAGTGCAAACTGGTCCAACCACTATGGAGAGCTGTGTGGAGATTTCTGGACCTACTAAACATAGAGCTTCCATATGATCCAGCAATTCCACTCCTAGGTATTTACCCAAAGGACACAGAAACATCAATTCCAAAGAACACCTGCACCCCTATGTTTATAGCAGCACTGTTTACAATAGCTAAGCTTTGGAAACAACCCAAATGCCCAAAAATAGATGACTGGATCAAGAAGATGTGGTACATATACACCATGGAATATTACTCAGCATTCAAAAAAGATAAGCACATGCAATTTGCAGCAACATGGATGGCGCTGGAAGGGATCATACTCAGCGAAATAAGCCAAAAAGAAAAAGGAAAATACCAGATGGTCTCACTCATAGCAGGAATCTAGAAAACTTAAATAAGGGACCAGGAAAATGAATAACTATAAGAAAGTGAAAATCAGAATCAACAAAAAACTATGAAACAGACACTTTTGGGGGAGTGGGGGGCGGGAGGGGAGGGATTGGGATCAGAAAGGGGGGGTTGCAATTGTATGGGGAATATAAAAATAAAATTTACTATTTAAAAAAAAAAGAAAAAAAAGAAACTTATTGACCCAAATTCTAAGAATTGATTTGGAATTTTTTTCAGCCCTGTATCAAAACCTGTAGAGTACACTGAGCACCTGTGTCCAAGAAAAAGGAAATCTCCAGTAGTAGACAGCATTGTGCTGCATTTTTCACAAGGACCCTTCCATTATGAATTTTCTCCAATGAGCAGTTACCTATAGGGCGAATATGGAGTTCAAGTCAACAGGAAACAGTTACTGACGTCAAAGAGGTCACAGTGAAAAAGCACCCTGGTGAGGAAATCTGATTGCACCATGCCTGAACTGCAACCAACGGAATTTAACCACATTAAGAATGATTACCAAGGCTTCAAGGCAGACACAAAAAGGGAGGACCTATTGGAACCTTTTTTTTTTTTTTTTTTTTGACTTATCATTTCACACAGCCTAGAAGGCACTGCAGGTGAATCCAATCACCCAGCAACCTCTCTGTCAAGCCCACAGAGAGGATATGTCTGTCTGAGGTCAGACTAGTCTCTAATATAACAAGTTTGACCTGGAGGGACACCGAAAACTTTTCACAGACCAAGTGTTTTCCTGGTAAATGAGAAACATTATGGCCATCTCATGTAATGAAACTCAATGAGGCTGACTGGCACCAGACTAGGGAAATGTCACGGTCAGCACATGGGCAGGCTTCCAACTGACCATATCTCTTGCGCTCCTCTCCCTTTTACCCTGGAAAAGCCCATCAATTCCACTTCCTTAATGTTTCCTTGCTGCCCTTCTTTGGAGTAGGCAGGCCAAAGCACTGATTCAGCTGCCTCACCTGTCCAGCACACTTAGTCTCCTCCCCTGCAGGCATCCACCAGAGAGCACCTCCTCAATTGCTGCTCTTAATGTTGTTTCCTGACTTAAATCCTTTGCAAGTTCTTTTACCTCCATGACAGACTCAAAGCACCTTTGCAAAGCATGTCAGAACCAGTATGACTGCCTCTTCTTCACTCCCCAAGTTTCTGCTGTGTCAAGAGTCCAGAAATAAATCCACACTT